AGTAATGGCTCTTCTAACTTTTACAAATGGAGACATTTTAAACTGATTATTTTAATGCAATAAATTAATTAGGCAGCAGCTCTTTTAAATTCCACACGTTTAAATTCAATGAAATCTGGTTTTCTATCCAAGGACTGAGAAGCCACAAAGCAAGTTCTTGCACAAGAATTATACAGGGGAAACAATGCTCTGTTGTAAACCGGGTGAACAATGATTAATTCTTACTGTTGGTTTAATGATAACAGCGACAAGTTCAAACTGAGTGACACGGTAGAGGTTTGAGTAAAAACTTGAACTCTTAGGCTAAAAAAGGCACCATCATTTGGATGAAACATGAAACTGAGGTCCTGATATTCCAAGGTCATTAAAAATCTCAAGATGTATCTCGAAAAGAGGCATCATTCATGTCTTCCACCACGTTGTTTTAGAAAAATGGGTTGTGGATGTATGGAACAAGCCATCCAACAGATACCCTGGCTTCTATAAAACAACAACTGGCCGAGCTCCTCATGACCTCTTACTGTTTGCAAAGTTACACAGGACTAGGTGAGGGAAATGAGCCTTGAATTTTGAAACTTGACAAAATCTTCAGGTTTATCTAGGTTCAAAAACTTACAAACCCAAACAAACTGGGTAGGTTAAATAGCCTCTTTTTCTTTGCATACATTCTGAGGCTGTCTTTTAGCATTATATTGAATTTAGTGAGACAACAAAAGCACAAGCTGTGCCTGCACACAGAAGACTAACATATCAGGCATCACAGCACTGGCAGCAGTACAACAGCTCAGATGTTAAGTCTCGGTCAAGTTTAATTTCCTGCCAGCGTATGCAGAAAATCCTGGGGGCCGTGACATAAACTAACAAGCAGGGCGGCTGCTCAGTAGGAGGAAAAGATGAGTGCAGGAGCCAAGGGCACTGCACTCAGCTGGCTGTGTAGAATGTGCTCAGGAGCCAGCCGCTCAAACGCCTTGCAGGACAGAAAGGGACAGAAAAAGAGAACATGGCAGCGCCTTAAACTGCAGAACCATTAGTCAGGGAAACAATTCAATACGTAAATTCAAGGAAACCAACACGAAAAAAATAAAACATTAAGGCTACAGTGTTTTCCTTAATCTCCTTAAAAAGTACCATAAAAGCCTACTTTTAGTCAAGCTCCACTGTGGCTATGCTGCCAGTGGAAAGCCTGTGTGTTTGTAGTGCTAGAGAGGGTGTGACTGATGCTGGGTGAGGCTCTTTCGGCGCGGCTGTAATCCCACAGCACAGGTTCTGCAGGTACAAGGGAGTCTGTGTCAGGAGGAAACAGTGTACCCCACCCTTATTAGAATAAAAACTAGTTATATTGTATATTGTTCTGAGATCCTTTTGTACCCCAGATTTAAACACACTATTATTTACATTTCATTGGTCTCAGTGTTTTCAACATTCTGCTGAACTCCTCTGTATCAGTGTTATTTACGGCCGCCCAACTCTATGCCTTGAGTATCCAACATACAGTTTCAGCCTGCTTTTGACCCCTAAAGAAGAAGGTTCCCGTCCTTAGATAATCTGAGCGTACTGGCCTTTCTCTCATCTCCTTCATAGAACACAGAAGGAGCTATTCTGAGGAGACTAGGGATTACCCGCACATTCCCAGCATCTGAGCAGGTCACCCTGGGAGAAATGTTTGTGCTGGAGCTGGGGAAACCTGCAAAGTCCAGAACTGAACCCAAGAAACAAGAACTACGAGGCTGCAGTACTAATCACCATGCCACATCACAGTTCAAAATCATAACGCACATTTTGTGACATCCCACAACTACAGTTTTATCATTAAAATTGAAATGCACAGTTACAAGCTGCTTGTGAATTCTATGCAACTTGGCAGATGGTTAATTTAGACGAAACAATTTTATTGTAAATTACTAACATTAACGTTCTGCTATTGATTACATTTCAGAAACATCCACTAGGAATTCGACTTGTCCTGTTATCACCCTTCTAGTCATTCCCAGTTTTCCCCACCCACTACTTCCCCACTACTTGCTCTCTTCTCCACAGCCAGGCTTGTGTTGAGCTCTCCTTTTACTTGATACTATGGAAATAATCTCTGATTGTTACCCTTTTAACCTACAACAGATTACTGTCAAACATCGGGCACTTAGAACACACAGCTGGGCACAAAGGGATTTATTGTGTCTGGGGTGCAGTCTGCAATCTTACTGCATTCAAAAACACAGATTCAGAGAATGCAGAACAGTGTGGTATATAAAGCCATAAAAACATTCATTAAACTACTAATGATAAAACCGTGAACGAATGTTCAGTGATGACGTAGTCCTAAAGTGATTGTGGGAATTAGTTCGAATGTATTCTCATTGATCCTGAAAGCTAGGGCGCTAATTTCAGGCATGATAGTTGCATTAGGAATAATGCTTACAACTATGGTTAAATCAGTGAGAGCTGGCCAAAGGCTATGTTTGGGTAGTCCTTACTTATTGGATAAAGGCTTTGCATTTATCAATTTAAGCAATTTAACCAGCAAGTAAAATAAAAATGAACATAAATGTCAAATAATATATCGTTTTTAAATATATAAAGAATCGCAAATGGTTTTAACTTAAGTAATGTCATATTTTAAACGATATAGTACTGTAATAGAGTGGAGCAGAGATATTCACTCCCGGTCTTTTTAGAAGAATCCAGGTTCAATTCTTTTGCTCTGCCACCAACGTGACTTAAACAATATCCTCTTTCTTTGGAGGAAATGCGAAACAAAGGTGCTATGTTACAGTAAATACAGTACTATGTGGTATACCTGGCCCCAGGTAATGACTTGTTGAATGAAAGGCTCTGCTACATAACTGATTATTGTTATAAGCTCTTTTCTGTACTCCTTGCATCATTCTATTCATTTCAAACGCAAACAGTGAATCACATATTTCTAGGTCAGGCTACAATTATCTGCCCTTTACTGCATCATGCATTTCCTTCCTGCTTTGTAGACAAAGTAAACAGCAATTGAGAAACACACCCCTTACATACAGTAAATCCACAGCTCATTTACAGCGCTTCTGCTTCTTGCTATTCTGTGGCAGGTATCACATTCATAATATACAGGAACTCTTTCAAGAACTTCTTTACTTGATATGATGGTACAAAAAGGGGAGACATTAAAATGAAAACTTGTCAATTACTGTCAGATGTACCAAATGAACTGGAAAGGTTTCATGTTTTGTACTGCTTATGATCTAGAAATATGGGAAGAAATAATTATATCACCATCATGCAGATGAAAAGAAGTAAGACACAGCTGCAATGAATACAATGCTGATTGCGTATATTTGTCTTGAATTTGTGGTTTGTACAGAAGAGTCAGCTAACAACTGGTTTAACCTATAATGAATGTCTTGAGTATAAGCATGACCCACCATGCCATCTAAAAGGATTACGCACATGGAAATCAGAGAAGAAGGACATCCAGCGTGTTGCTAAAAATGCAAAGCCACAGACGTTTGAGAAATAACACCATGTATAACCACACTATATTAAAGCCTATTCTTAACAATGATGACAGTACCTAGAGCCCACACGCCTATTGAGAAACCTATCATTACAGATTATCTCCTTTGCTATAAACTACTGCACAGTAGGATTCTGATATGTACTTTCTAAAGCAATTAGATAAACCCCCTTTGTTTCTCCATTTTGCTATGCAGCTTTTAAAATCATTAAAAAATTTGAGTCCATGCAAATAACTGCATGCAAATGCCAAATAACTCCAGTTAGGACTCTTAAGTCTTTCACCAAACATATCCGGTCTGATGCATGAAGGATAGAGAGGAAGTCCATGCCGAACAAGAACAGCGCTGATCTACAATAGTTTGTTAAACCAACTGGAAAGTTGGATGGAGAGAATTAATGCTCAGTGACCGGCAGAATTATATAGCCATGAAGTGTAGTGCTGGGATCTGCTCCACAAAGGCTGTGAACACAGGTCTATCAATTCTGCTGTGTGGCAAAACATACCAAAACAGTACATCTTCCAGGAATCCTTATATACCAAACACACAGCAACACAAAAGCACATAGAGTAGAGGAATGCAATGTATTACAGAATGGGTGAAGCGCACAGAGGATTATTCGCACACCATAGGAGGCAACAAGGGCAAGACTGTCCACTTGACTTTATTTCTTAATGCAGTGCTCATAAATTGCTGAAGAACATTTCCACTGTACAGCTAACAAATATCACAAATTAATTGTGAAAGAGATTGACCTGTACAGTGGTATTGCAATAATATGAATTGCAGAGCTAAGCTGGTGTAAATCATTTCCTCTTCATGCTATTACAAAAACATCTTCCAGCAGAAACGAGATCTTTAAATAAATCCATTTTAAACTGGAATTTCAGACTATGACTTGTAAATCCATCAAACTCGTATAACTATGTTTTAACTTACAGAAGGCGATCTGCAATTTAGCCCCAGTTTGTTTGAGTTATTATGTTCCTAGGAACATCCCTGACCAGCTGGTCCAGCTGTGAGTTACAGATCTAATACCCCACTATAAATGTGCCTCAGAAGATAGAGGCATAGCAATTTAGTTAGCCTAATAGATTTTGAATTACGAGACTTCAAGGAGCTAGAAAAGCAGGATTCACACCAAGTAGGATTCACCTGTTAAAATATTTAGGGTCCACTTCTATAGACATCTTAAACAGCACATCCTGTAATACATGTAAGGGTAACAGGCAGTAAGTGCAACAAGGGGAGGCTGACACAGTGCTATTATTTTAGAAAACATCAAAATACATATTATTATTCATAAAACCACACACCAGGCTCCTCCAGCTGTGTTAGCATGCACAGGCCACATGTAGGCTTTTCCTATTAACCATATTTCCATACTAGAGTCCCCACCTCTCCTGCTGGAATCATCCAGACCTGGCACACTGCACTGTTAAGCACCATTTCTCTGCTGATTGCCCATCAGAAGTATTTAAGAGACCCACTGTGACTTACTCTCTCACTTTCATCACAAGAAAGGTGTCCAGGGGCAGGCAGGACCTCGGCCAGAGTAGAGTTGCTGGGTGCATCAGTGGTTGATGATGACCGGGGGCGGCCAGATTGCAGCAGGGCTTCCTGGGTACTCCTTCGGTGGATCTGTGGGCTACCCTTGGGGGGGTCCCCGGCTGTTTTGTTGCGCCGACTGTGTAGGCTAGTCCCGCGCTTCATCATGGGCGCACCTCTGATCTGCTGCAGCACACGATTCAGAGCTGTGGGGTGGGCGCAAGTTTGGGGGTCAGTGTCTGTAAGGGGAGCAGAGCTATTGGACGGTTCTTGCCCTAGTTCTGGGGGCTCGGCAGAACCCCCAGAGGAGACAGCCGGAAGGACATCATGGGGAGAAATGGAAGAGCGCCTCCGCTGGGGTTGAAATAACTGTTTCAAGCCCTGCCCAAACACGCCAATGTTCTCCAAGGCATTGTGGGTGATTTTGGTCAAGGCGTGCTCCGGCTCAGGCGCCTTTTTGCCCTCCGTCTCTGATGGTTGGCCTCCCGGCTCTGGCTCCTCATGGTTTTGTTCACTACTACAGTGATCCATCAGAAGGACCCCCAGCTCGGATCAGGCACAAGTCTCATAGGGGAGGGCTCTTGATGCAGCACTCTACCTATGCTGTCAGTAAGGCAGGTCAAAGCTGTGCAGTGGTACTCAATTTGGGGTTGTGCACGTGCATGCATCAGTAGGTGGGCTCAAAGTCATGCTCATCTACCACAAAAGGAAATAAAATCAATTACAACATGCACTACTTACTGAACAGAGCAAACAAAAAAGAAGAAATGCAGCGTTTAATGCAGCCGTGAAACATGGAAGTTAAGAAGCACATGTCCAAACACAAAAACTGCAATGTGATTAATTTCAGATTAATTTAACATGTAAGTATATGTAATTGAACTGCCACCTTGCAGTGTCTTATGACTGCACATTCACATGTTTTAAATAAATGCATACACAATCAGAAAGGTGACGAACTAGGACAAAATCTCTGGCCCAATGCTTTTCTCTGAAGACACACTGCACTAGATGAAACAAAAAGACTTGTTTTTTCATTTTATTTTATTGCATTTAGACAAGAAAAGTCTAAATGCATTACAAATTGCTTCATATATCGCTTAAGGAACATAAGAAACCCAGAAAACAGAAGATATAGCACTTTATCAATCAAAGATAAACTGCAAGGACAGTTATCCTTCTAACAGAAAGCCCTAAAGGGCACAAAAGAGTGTGTAGCTTCCATTATCTGACTGCCCATGCATTTGTGAATGCTTTTTTATTCTCAATCCATATCCCAATAGTGGCAGTTCCTGTTACTTGAACTCAGGAGATAGTTGAAATAATGTCTTAACATTTCTTTGAAGCACAAAGCTTTTTGTGAGCAAAACTACATTTGCACTACAATACTAATGTGTTTTGTAATTCTGTAAAAACTTTTTTAAATAATTACGCATGATCTGTTAAACAGTTACTGTTAGCGTACTGTTATGTACAATTACTGTTAATAGTTGCTTCTGATGATAGCAGAGCAAAATTAAATTTTGAATTATCTCATAATCTGAGCTGGAGATCAGAAATGTGCTGCAAAAAGAAACAGTAAAATAAGGACTCTTTGAAGATCCACCTTCTGCTGGTAATAAAGAACCAGCACATGTAGCCAAACAAATCTCACTCATCCCAAATTTTCAATGTAGAAATCAGCTTCGAGTTGTGTCTGAGGCTGACAGGAAATTTGGTCAGATAATGTGGTTTTGTGATCTCAGATTCTGTGTTCAGTATACAGTACATTAATGGAAGGCTGTAGTTCACTTCACAGAGTTCTTAATATCTGAACATTAGAAACAGAACTACACAGAGTAGAAGTACACTTACCATCTGCCCAGTTCAGCCTATCCTTTCTCAGTGCTCAGGGTTTGCTGCAGAATATAAAACAGATAAACTCTTTTAGGATGATATTGATTTTTGCCTTTGAAAATAAGCTCAGCACCCTAATAAACCAGTACCTGACATTTCAGAGTAGAATTTATTGAATGTTTGTGATGAATCAGGAAAGAAAACCATATAATCTTCATCATTTGCCTCTGACATTTGCACAAATGGACAGAGTTATAAACATCAGTACATGTAATCAATCAGGCAGTGACTGTATTAACTTGAATATATGCAATAGGTCAAGAGTAGGCAACCCTGGTCTAAGAGTTCAACTGGCACCTAATTAAGAAATTATAAGATTATCTTATCCACTTAATTGGGTCAATTAAAATGAAACTGTAGTCCCAATTTCTCCAACTGGTTAGTACATTTCTGAACCAAAATAAATTCATTGACGGTATAGAAAAAGTTGTCAAATTAACTAATTAAGCACAAAATCATGAATTTTGCTAAAGTGCCGTAAATCCCGATGTTGTCACAAACCACTAAGGGGGAGAACGAAAGTTCACGCAAATTGCACTTATTGCGAGCTAATAAGTACAGGTTGTACAAGCAAACATTTCACCGTGATTTGCATGCAGAGTCTACAAGTAGTATTTGGTGGCAAAACCGCCTTAAAGTTGAGAGCAAAATGTCTGCTGGATTGAAAAGAGTTATAATACTCACAAGCTTGTTTCTTTACAATGTAATAGGGCCGCTTCACGTCAACTGAAATCTGTCGTCTCATTCTGAATTGCAGACTATTGTGCTGTGCATACATGGTAATTTCTGTGATGCAGATTGGAGGCTTTACAAGTTACTGTGTACAATTTATTTTCATTGTGACCTAAAATGCTTTCAGTGCTGATTCTTTTTAACACTAAAATATAAAAATAGCATTGCAGTTCCCCTTAAAGTTTTTAAGGTATGACAACACAGATGGTGCAGATATCTGATATTTCATGATGCTTCTCTTGTTGAGAGAAAACTAGAAATTCTAAAGTATGTATTAATCTTTGCTCTTTTCTTTTCTCTCTAAAATTTATATTTTCCTACAATTTCTTAATTGTATTTTAAGCCTCCATTAAATCTGTTTTGTTGGTTTATGTTTCTTTTAGGAAGTAGATTACAGGCTGGTAACATCTCTCCCAGACCTAATGGGTTGACAATTGCAGTGCACATGTATTTTCACTTTATTTCCTCAAATCACCCTGAATAATAGTCATTATACTAATAATGCCCACAATCTTAAATGTCACATTTGTGAGCACATTCAGCATACCTCAGCACAAAAGGTCAGAAAAAGAACAGTCAGATAGTAGAGTTGCTCATCCAGATAGGTGGTCTCCAGAGAGGCCACAGTGTAACTGTTATGACCCCAAGTGTCTAGGGGTAAAGGGGTCTAACATTTAGGATAATTTTTGGAAGCAGGTGGGTTCTGGTGAGGGACTAGGAAGCATGTCAACAAGGGTTGGTGCAAAAGTGATTATTTTAAGGTGAATAAGTGACTGGTTCATAATAACACACAGGGATAGGGAACTAGAGTGGTGCCAAAGAAAAGAAAATAACAAAGTGGAGCTGGCTAAGAAAGTAAGGAAGCTGACCTAACTACAAAAGAAAACCCAAAACAGTCAGTCTTCGGCGTCTTCAAACAACCTAGCTAACCTCCACTGACTACCCAAAACCATACAAGACAAAACAGCACTCACCCGTCCTAAACTAGTGTTACTTATACAAAAATCAACTACGTATGTAGAATGTACCCAACAACCTTAACTAGCCCTAAAGTTCACACAAATACACAAGTGAACTAGGAATACAAATAAGGGAAAACAAGAGTAGTCAACAGGAACAGGGTAAAAAAAAAGAACACAAAGGTTGAACATATAACACGTTAGGGCAAGGTAATGGCAAAATAAACGATAAACAAACGAAAGTACAAGGAGACGAACAGAAACCAACAAAAGCTGAAGCTATACAAAAATACACACACACAAAACAAACCAAAAACGAAATGAAGCGAAATGAAGCAAAGCAAAGCAAAGCAAAGCAAAGCAAAGCAAAGCAAAGCAAAGCAAAGCAAAGCAGGACCGACATCAAATGAAAGACCTCTTCCTTCTGAAAACCTCCATGTTATATACTGAATAAGATGCACTCTGATTGGCTGAGAAGCTGATTGATGATGATGTCACACAGAAACGATATAATAATGGACCAATGGGGGAGGGAGAACAATCAAGGTCAGGAAGTGGAAAACAGCAACAAAACACACATGGACCACATACTGGGACGTAATAGTAACATAGTACAAAATGTTCCATAATGTTCAAATCAGTTGTAGCACAGGAACAGTTTGTCCATAATAATTTCTCCTGTCATGCTTTCCCACACATTAAATACAGGTGCATTTTTGCTAGATTCATTCATTAACCATGATGCATCAGTTAACACCCAAACCACACACAGATGAGACAGGGAACAGGGAGATTAATCTGTCTTTGTACACATCCACTACAGTAGCAATACTGATCCCATTCAGTGGCAATGTTTAACAATGTGTCTGATGCTTTTCTGAACTGGCTTGCAGAATGACCATTAAATTATAAAGGAGGCAGATGATAAATGACTGAGTCATTCTTACTTCAGTTCGATAACACCAGGTTAATTCACATTCATTAACGTACGAGTCAGTTGCATGTAATACTATGATATACATCATGTTGATTGGACTGCTCCTATATTATAGACACAAAAGCAAATGAACAGAGAAAGGTCTAAAATCATTAAACCACAACTGTGAACACAAAAATCCTCCTGACTAAAAGGAAAGCTAAAATAAGTTAATTACATAACTGTTTTCACAACTGTAATTATCAGCTCCATCAAAAAGGTTGGATAGTAAAAAAGTTTTCTTTTTTCAGACTATTGGCACCAAGTTTTTTTTAATTTCAGTTCAGCAAATCAATTGTCTGTAGCCTCATCACAACAGTGTCTACATGCAACCTCAGCTGCATAAAAGCCAGTGTGTCTCACTTCACCCAAGATGCCTAACTTAACTTAATACGATATTTTATTTGTTATTGGATATGATTAATCTGTCTCAACATTATTCTGGGAATTGGAGCCATTTTTCAGGTATGGTGTCATTTCATGGAGTAGCCTATCCTATTTGATCTGTAGAACTGTCTGTCCAGTTAACAACAGATGTTTCTGAATCATGTCAGTTTTGTCTTATTCAGACCTTCAGTGTGGGGATTTTAAACTGCATCACTAAATTAAAGCATCAACAGAACTGTCCATTTTTTATCAAGAAGGGATTGGGTTTAAGGGGGAAGAATATTTTAACAGCAGGTAACGACTACCAACTCTCTTCACAGCAAGGATTGCATAGTCGTGGAACTCATTTATGTAAAAATTAACACTGGCCTCACATCTCTGGAGATGGTTTCTGCTTCCATAAATCTGACTTTCAACTATACACAATGAATGGTTGGGTTATGAACTCCAGAGCCTTCCATCTTCTTTAAGGATGAGATAAAGTGAGCAGCCCACCCAATTTATTCTACACAGGAGTGATAATGCCTTAATCGATTCTCTTGAGAAAGCCCACAGGGCTATTATAACCACTTTGGTCTAAGGCTGATTACTGGTGCAGGAGACCTCGGTAACTTGAGAACCATTACACTGTTCACCGGTCTGTTACTTTCAGCACTCTCATGCTAATGAGACATTTATTTTCTTGTCCTTTCTGTTGCTTTTAGCTCCCAGCCAGTTTCTTAGGTATGTCTTCTCTGGACAACACGGTCAGGGGTTCAAATCTCAAGTGGGAAGCTGCTGATGTACCCTGGAACTAGATACTTCACTCAAAGAGCTCCAGTAAATGCCCTGTTGTATAACTATACTCTCCAGGCTGTCACTGTACATCTGGTTAAAGAAAGGAGTCAGTTTGTAGAAAAGCATAGTTCTTTTTTGTGCTAATTTTTATGTAGTGTATTAGAACAGAAAAAAGACTGAGGCTTCAGGGCTCTGTTTAGGTTTTATTTTGTAGTAATTTTATAACAAACCAATGCACAGGAGGGACATAGAAAGTATTTTTGAGATATTTTACCATTTACTTACAACTGCTGCTTGTGGACTGAATATACAGTCACAATAAAAAATACTTGGAATAGCAGGCAATGCCAAATTATATTAATAACACCCATTGTAAAGATAATAAAGGATATGTCCCATAATGTTAATATGTTGACTAGATAGATCTGTGATTACTAAGGCGGTTTTAGATGGGTCAGGATTTTAAAACTACCCTTAGCTACAAAGACGTAATTGTGGTTTAATACTTGCATGGCGTAAACATGTAACACTGTTCATTGTAAGACCTAATCTTAAAGGACTATTTCTAACTAATCAGCAACACTGTTAAGCTGCTCATAGTCTTATTATTCCCAGAAATGGTGAACAGCTGATCAGTATTGCACAGTGACTATGCACTATGCAAAATATTCATTTTCAACTTGGTTAAGGCGTAATGCTGAACTGGCAAACTACCATTTTTTAATTTTGGAGCAGTTTTCAATTTTTGTCAAGTTTCAAAGGGTCCCAGTGAACATGGAGTCATATTATCAACTGACCTAAGACCTAGTTATATAAGGTAAAGGCAGAAGTTTCCCACAAATGTGGAAAACATCATGGGAAACCTAACTGCACTATTTTGCTGATATGGTACATATACGTCTATCCTTTCCTTTTCAATACCTTACCACAGAGCCTTATGTTTATGGGCCTTAAGAAAATGGCTTTTATATGACTCAGTGCTCTGAAGACCAATGTAGAAGAATGTTTAAAAATAACGATGAAGGTTGAGCCTCTAAACAAGTGTTCATTATATGCCTTCATTCATTATCCCATCTCTACTTTCTAGCTGTCTTACTGATTCCTTCCTGCATCGATCTGATATTTTTGAAGGTTGTACAAGAAGGCAAAATGCTTTGTCTCAGAAAGGCAGTTTCTCACCCTTAACCTGCAAAATATATTTTTTGTTCAGCTGTGCTAGTTCAGACTGACCTTGGCTCCACGCATCGTCGGTCTCTGCTTTCTTCGAGGCTCAGTTCCATTTTCACATATTCCATTGCAAAGAGACTTTTGAATTTAATTTTCAGTGCTTTTTTTCATAGTTTAATTCTGTAATTTACTTTAAACAGAAATAACTGTTGTTTCCTCACCCAAATAATTTATTCGGCTGACTGAGTAATGCTAGAAGTACAATATTTTCTTTCTGACAGTTGGGTTACTATATCAGTACTCAGTACTAGATTAAATTACTCGAAGGGCCTACTGGAATACATTCAAGTAGGGAACTGCGTCAGCATGTGTAGGTTGCAAAGGAACAAGTAAAGATTAATTCCATGCTGGAAAGAGAAGAAAGGAAACCAAAGCCAAAACGTTGTTTCCTTTCTTCTCTTTTCAGCATGGAATAAATCTTTACTCGATCCTACCGGAATACATGTCGGACCAATCAAAACTAATACAGGCATTTTGCAAGGATACAAGGAGCTTTTAAAACAACACATGATGCCATGTGGGCAAACATGCCAAAGCAGTGAAAGAAATCACTACTACTGTGTTTATATATATATATGGATTTCCAATGTACAGTATACATTTACCTATTCCAAAACTTGTACATGACCAAGAACAACCTTGAGAACCTTCATAATCTTATCTGCTGCATAAACCTTGGGACATTCACATTTGACTACTGACCTTGCATGCGGTGCTCAAAGATTACAATGTCTTTGGTTAATTCACTGGCCTCCCACCTCGGCAGGTTTATCATCAAATCCCACTGAGATCACAAGGCAAAGCTCAAAATCTCCATGACCTCCAGGATCAGACAACGTCAGACAATGTGAGGAAACAAAAGGAGGAAGAGTCATAAAAGCAGACAATACTTAAAACACACTTGTCACCTTTGCTGGTTATCCTTCTATAGGAGGGAGGTTTGAAGAAAAGGAAGACAGGCAGTGGGGATTAACATTGCACTGTAGGTTCTGTCCACTTCACCAGCTCTATGGGAATGTGAACAACTTCAAGGCCATTCAAAATGCAAGAAAATAGTAAACTGGAGGTTCACCTGATACAAACCACAGGTGTTAATACACACAGGATATGGCTCATCTCAGTCCTGCAAATTGTCTTCATGCACCATTAGAAAAACAGCAAACAAGTATGACTGTTCAGTGAGTTCACAATCATGGCAAGTAACCACTGCACTCCTGATGAGTCTGGCAATATTCTGCATTTGTAAAAAAAAATCAGTTTTCCATACTTTCAAATCATTTTAACATTTAGCTTCTGCTATCACTTCATTGAAATTGTACCAGTTACATTTTAATAGCTCATTAAAGCACAGAGTTAAGTGGCAATTTGAAACAAATGCCTATGTTAAGCAGGTTGCAGTTGGTGGATTTCTACAGTGCAATTAAGTAAGGAGCTCACCCACAACTGTGCTACATGCCAAGCCACCGAGGCACTTACTGTATTGTGAAAAACTGCTAACCACAGAATCTCCCACATTAAATACACTAACACCATTCAATTCAACCATTTCTAAACTTCGCTCTGACTGTGTGCTTTGGGCTTATTTGATAATCATGGGCAGGCTATATAGTTCAATTCTCCACATTAACTTGAAGAAACAAATTTTGGTCTGAAAAAATATTTGAAGTAAAATGTGCAGACTTCATTCAAAAATTAGAGATGAGATACATTCTGCTGGAATAGCAAGTTAAAGTCTTTATATCAGAAGGATCTTGCTGCTCTTAACAAAAACTGCTGGATAAGCCTTTTTTCACTTTCACCTGTTTCAGACCAGGCAAAGAAAGGTTAGATTGGAAGTAAACAATTAATTCAGCGATACAATTCGGAGATAACATGAGAAACAAAAACTCACTGGCCATTGAGAACTGAATCCTGCATGTGCACTAGAAAACTAGTTTTTGTCATCAAATCCACAACTGATTCATCTAGTCCATCACCTTTGTGATCCAACTAATCCAAAACTCAGATACAGGCCAGGGAGGGTGTGATGTGGCAGAGAGCTCTCTTCTAATGCAGTCCAATCAAGTCAGTAATAAACACACATAAATAGGAATGGCAAAGCATCAGCTCAAAAATCAATTAAATACAAGTGTTTAATGTAAGAGACGTATTAAAATACAGAACGTACACCGGGGTGCATTATGCTCTGCCTTTAACACTCATACAGACCTCTATTATAGTGCAATTTGTCAAAATCATATTTGCAATTGAATGTTTCCAGTTCTGTATGTGATAAATCACCACTTTTGTACAGGGCAATCCATAGCCCAGCACCTCTGTCATAGGCTCTCAAATTTCTTCTACTTTACACAAATCAGTTTTTCCTAACTTTGTGCACTAAATAGGAGTAAAAATTTGGAATAGTGATGCTGGTCTTAGTGACTCAAATATACATAGACGTTCTAGAGGTTAATTTAATAAATATTACACTTAATTGCCTACCAGTTCAAAACTGGTAGTTAAACTAGCACACAGTGCACATTTATGTGCCACCTGTTTCAACCTGTATTATTGTGGTAAAATTACATCCTGACTCTGCCTCCAAAAAGCATCTTAAAGAAAGCATTAATAATTATCTTTAATTATATTCACATACCAATTAAGTTACCGCTAATTTATTCATATGCAAAATAAGACTTTTTCTTGAAGATTGTATTAACCTGAACTCATTCTAGAATTTGTTCACGAGCTGTCATTTACTTTATAAGTAAATCTCTGACAAATTGACAAATGGGCAATGAAGACAAGAATCCATACTGAGCCGATCCATATACAAAATATATTCCTTATGTTTTCAAGTCTGAAAAAATTAAATATGTTGTATATTTGTCTCTCCGTCAATGTAACATCACATAACTAGCACGAAGACCTACAGATAGATGAAAGCAACTTCCTGGGGTGCTGAATCGCACAATGCTTGCTTCACCAACACTTCCTCTCCGACCATAGAACAGGCAACTGTTTTTTATCACTGTGTAACAAAAAAGACATCCATCTCTCTCTGATGACTGTTTCTTTTGAAGGAATTCATATTTCGCGATGAAAGACACTAAAGCTTTTACACACAAGAAAAGCTGTCAAGTCATCTGAATACTGTCTTGACAGGAAGCTACCACAACCACGACACTCTCCTAGCCTTGATATGTCAGCCAGCTGGAATGCAGAAAAGGCCCAATATATCTTCTATGTGACAGACATATTTGATCAGCATTATTTTAAAGGTGGTTACTTTAACTGTAAAATTGAATGTACATAAAATTCCACACAGAGGTTTCTTTGCAGTATCAGGACTATGAGGTATGGGATTTATGATACCTGCGTGTTAACATTTAATACTACTTCATAAATATTTGTGCACTCCACTTGCTTGGTAACCATATTAGGGCAGATATACACAGGGCAGGCTTAAATATACGGTAAACGTACAAATCATTCAGAATTCCATTTTGCAATCCTGTTGGAAATTTACACAGCGTTTTCGGCTTTAAAACATGCCAATGTCTTACAATTAAGCAATTAGAAAAAAAAATACATGAAAACATTCCTTTTCGGTATTCAAATGGGAACTTATTGTAAAAAACCACATCCTGCCTCAACAAAGAAACTAGACTGATCTACCAGTAACTACATAGTTGTGTTAAAGGTGTGCTGGTTAATTAAAAGAGGCAGTGAATTTGAACTCATTATAAACATTAATCCCTGGCATACTGTAGAAACATACTGTAGAGAAAGGCATTTCAGAACAGAAATACTTGCTCTCACTCACTTGTTACTGTTGCTCATTTCTCACTGATTCAACTGCTACTTTAAACTCACAGGCTGAAAAACGTGTGATGGATTAAAGCAACAGTAATAATATACAGTATAAGAATTGTTGGGTTTAGTAATGGATATTAAGTTTACATATACATTATTAAAGAATGAATCCTTCATTACATTAGTAATATGGGAATGTCCTATCCTGTAATACAGTTATTCAATTCTGCACCAGATGCAGGCTAAGTTTCTGACAGGGACAGGTAAAGGTTTATTCCAGGCTGAAAAGAGAGACATTTACAGCTGCGAAGCCTTCTACAGGTGTCACATAGCTACTGTACCTACTTAAGTTTCTGATAGCAAAGTGGCAGAATTACAAATCTGTAAAAGTAAGAACACAGTCCCTTTCCAACATCAGGATCCTCAATAATTCAGAATCACTTTCACAGAATGGAGAACGTCATGTGCATGTAACTTACCAAGATACTGTACTCAAGTCCAAATCTGCTTTGAGGACACACCACAACATGTAAATATATCCTCTGTGCAAAATCCCTAAGGGTAATTTATTTTTGATATTGTAGCCCTAAGGCTTGATCTTTAACAGAATTGTAATTTATCATTTACTATGTGTGTCTGCAAAGTAAATCCACTAGAGCTGTAGAGTAAATACTCCACAGAGCTGAATGATCTTGCTACCTTCACAAACCAATTTAAACTTGTATACACCAGCATGCAACATCCCTGAAGAATTGCACTACCACAGTGACTGGGTTTCAAAGGAAATATACTACCAAATCATCAAATTGCAATTTGAAAAGAGGCAAAATGCTGTGCTAACACAATACAGTATTAAGACGTCCCACACCAGCACCTTCTTAACAAACACTTAACTGAAATTATACTTATCGGATATGATTCTTACCTTGTAGTTTCTGGTCATTTCAGGAACAGAGCCTGACAGGGCCTCTTGCGTATTTACAGTTTGAGTCAAGCCATGTTTTAATAAGGAGAGTGTCTGCAATCAGTTATGCTTAGGAGAGATCACATAGAGTCCAAGATGTCTTAATGTGCACTTAAAGTCTTTTTGTGAAGGAGTTAATGGGTATTCAAAATTCAATGAGGCTTGAACAAGTCCAATAAGACAAAAACCTCTGGGAATCTAGTTCAAATCATTTTATAAAATATATTAATAAACAGCAGTAGGAATTATGATTCTGGGTTATTACTGCATTTTTCAAGCGTAAAGATCAATAATTCAGGCAGCGCACTTGAAAAATAGTAATGTAAGCAACAATCTGTCATTCAGACAGCAGATGAAACACAGCATATGTAGATGCAAAGCTCGTTTTTCAAACTAACTCCTTGTCCATTCACAAGCAATTCACAAAATCAATCACTTCTCATATGACTGGAATATTCCTGATCATGAGTGAGTTACAGATTATACATTGATTACTGATATGTCATCACTAGTTAAGAGTTTGGCCTCTGAAAACAAAAAAACTGAAAGGACCCAAAGGAATGGTTTAATCTTCACACAGGTTGTGACAAACATTTGACTTGTGCTGAAGATGTTACTGTAGGTTAATGAGGAGAAGATGTGCAAGAGGTACAGTAGGTTTAATGAAGTTGAAGTATCAAGTTCAAAATCATTCTGGCTCAAAGCAGTGACCGGTGTTTATTTGATAGTCTGTCAGAATACACTTTCCTACAGAAGATTATTATTTTTTGTATAAATGAGATAGTACTGCGTTTAAATGAGAAAATTATTATTGTGTTTAAGAGACAGTATTGTGTTTAAATGCAATCGTTAATTTGTGAACAATATAACCTACTATATTAATATCTTGTTAAGAGTAGATTTATACCTCCACTGCCGAAAACATTGTGTTTTCATTCTTCTTTTTTTCAGCATGGAATAAACCTATTACTTGCTCCATTGCAGCCTACGCATGCTGACACAGCTACCCACCTGATTTATACCTATTGTTGGCTAACTGTTACTGTTACGGAATGCAAGATATAAATTTAAAACAACAGTTTTCGCAAATTAGTTATTGCGTTTAAATGCAATACGATCTTGTATAAACGCAAAAAATATTTTTTTCTCCGTGGAGCTAATGAACTGCCGTACTTTCCTTGCAATTGCAGCTCTAGCGCTCCTGAACAACTTCATGTCTTATCAGAAGCACAGCTAGACAAGAGCAATACTGTTCTACGTCATTGTGTTGCTTAAGATTCAACCAGTAGCAAACAAAAAGATTCAAGAAAAAGCATTCTTGAGTATGACAGAGTGAACAAACCTAATTGCTCACAAAACTACAACATTACACAATCAGAGTTTAATATACGGGGCCTTGCATCCAGTCTTTGAAATGCCCCCGTACTCAGTAGAAGTTTAGGGACAAACATTATGTAGGGCATTAGTTTATTTTTGGAATTCCCCAAAGTTCAAGGTTACCAACAGTAAAAGGTCTCCTAACCCTCAGTTCTTTTCTATAACGTATCATCCTGAGATGAATGTTAAAGCGATCATATAAAGATCATTCTGAGATTAACAAAATGATCACAAACCTGCTACAGAAAATTCAAGATTCTGCATGTCAATATGATAAACCTGAGGTGTAGTGATGGGAGCCAGATGTCTTATAATCTGAGTCTACGAGGGGGAGGGGGGGGGGCAACTTTAAAAATAGACTTTCTCATTAACCCACTAGGCCATTTCAAAGTGACCTAGTGCCGGTCATATTAACTGGGTTAGCATGTCCTCTGTGATTAACACTATTTCACCGGTGTGAAGGGATAAATCAAAAAGATGGCATAATTCACAACCAGTAAAGCAGTTTCACAGACAATCCCCTCCCCCTAGCCATGTAATAAAAGGCTTCTTAGCAGAGTGTTAATCCAGACATCGGAAATGGGATCCCTGTCTAACAATGAACGCTGTTAATACTACACCCTCCTGCAAGCGAAACATGATAATTAGGTAAAGACAAACTTTCATGCCCCTAGGCTCTCTAGTAATCAACCCTGGAGGCTTGCAGGTGAGCAGTAAATAAAGACAACGAGTCAGCCATTAGCATCAGTAAAGGCGGACAGGAGTTGTACTATGGTACTGAACTATGTAGGCATGTCCCAGACCAGATTAAACCATGTGGCAGCCTCCCAACGTCTATAAAACCCCTACTGTCGTGCTGTCCTTAGCTTCTTTCACATTGCCTCTCCTAAAGGAGGTGGAAAATGCCAAACAAGAGGATCCAAAATAACACTGCGAATGCAAACTCAAGCAATCCAAGTTTTCACAGCCTGTTAGAAAGACCTTCAGACATGCCTACCTCCATCTGACCTCTCTGGACTGAACCTGTTTTTATTTTTAGCTGTTTGCTGGCAGGTGGGAAGGAGTGATCATGAAAAAGAGCAAATAAAGCAAAACAAAAACAACCCACTACAGGTGGTGGAGTTCTTGCAGAACAAAAAGAAATGGTGAAGTATTCTGGTTACAGCTAATGCACTGCAAATTAGGCATTACATCTATGCTGTACTTCACAGTTCAACAAGTTACTGCACTGAACTCAAAAAGTCACACTGTACTGCAAAGTATTGTGCAAAAATAATTACTAGGAACATTAGGTGGTGTAGAACAAATAGTTATGAGCAATGCTTGGGCAGTACTAAAACTACAGAAAAGGACTACTCAATCCAGTAGACACTAGATTAAAATAAGGTCCTCTTTTAGCCTGCATAGTTTATAGCTCACAAATGTAGAAGCAGAAACAAGAAATTCAATTTCTTACTCATCACTGGCAATCGTAGTAAGGCTCTTCACAAACGTGTTACGATAATATCCGTACCCTCTGCTCCTACAATAGCCTAACTACCCTCAAGCCAGAAGCATTTACACTGTTTAAGAGAAACTTGGAAAGATTTAATACCAGAATAGATATTCAATCAAGAAAATGCTAAGAGACAGCAAATGAATAGTCGTTTTACAACACATACCTTCAGTCTCAACCAATAGCGAAGACGTCTTCGTAGAGAAGGAAATATAGATGTACATTTAATCCAAATGATTCTCCAGCGCCTTCCTTAATTTAATATACACATATTCTGTACAGTGCAGGCTATAATCAGATGTGTATATTCCTTAGGAGTACCACGGTAAAAGGGATCAATATTCTGAGTAAGTTTGTCCCAACACTTCATCGGTTTGCAGAATATTATTATTTCTCCACACCGAGAGGAAGAGAAAAAAAATGCTTCAATCCAAAACCACGACCATCACTGCTGAAATCCGCAAAAGGATGAAATTCTGAACGAAGAAGAGTCTTGTCGATGGATAAAAATACCGAGACTTAGAACACTCTCTCGCATCGCCAAAGTCCGGCAAAAAATAAGTGAAGCACTTATCCTCCAGAGGAAAACGTGACATACAAAAAGCAAGAAACTATTTTAAGGTGAATGAAATTTTGCAACAGTTAATATCCGATACGTGCACACCTCCTCATACTTGTCCACTGTATCATCACATCACAGTACGAGGCAACACCTCTCCCGAAAATTAGATGAGATTAGTTTAAATTCATTCAAAAATACATATGTCGCTGATAAATATAAACCCCAGTTTCTTCTTTCCTCGTAATACTCTGTTCTTAAAGTTACATGAAAAAGTGAAAACATGAGTTTTTTTTTTACTGCGGCTGTACATATACTTGTACAAATATTAATTAAAAAAAGAACAAGGGGTGCTTATACTTTAAGTAAAACAAAGTTAAACAAAATGTTTCAACATAAACTTTGTGCGTTATCGCATCAAATCAAAACATTTAACCGTCAATAAAGTCACAGGAGGCTGCGCTGTTCTTTCTCCACGTAATTAACAGATAAATAGCGCAGCCAATTAGCGCTCGCCCGATCGTTAAATATAAAAAGCTCCATGAACCCATCTATTTCTGTAATAGATCTTATTTTTTTCATTACATGAAAAGGACAGAGACATAATCACTCAGGCAAGGGGCAGCTGTTTCGAGACCGATCCGCTGCGGGGACGGCGGACAATAATTAATAAGGCCAGAACCGATGCATTATTCTAAAAAAACAAGTTACAAAGACGACAACATCATTTAAGCGTTTGATCCTGAGTCACATCTATTAATTGAAGCTGACACAGGTTGACTACCCCCCCCCCCAAGTCCCGCTTTGCCTGTGTGTTGCCTAGGTGTTATTTTATTAAGGTCGGACTAAGTACGTGGTTATAGACAGCACCACCAACCCCCCCGCTCCCGTGCATACCAGACATCTTGAAGCCACTGATCCCAACCGTGCATTTCTAATTTGGCTCGTCAATGAAAACAGGTACGGTAATTTGAAATTGACACTTACAGGAGCGTTGAGCGGATTGTACTGGTGATGGCTCATTCCTCCCGATGGAGCACTCCCACGATGACGTCAGGAAGTGCGTTTCCACGTCGGACGTGGTGGAGCGAGGGGAGGGGTCAGCCGTGTAGTGTGATGTGTCGCACTGACTTCAGTCCGACAGTGGCTGAAGCAGCCGAGCGCTAGGTTTGACTGGCGCGCTGGTATTCCACGCAAGTTTCCATTCACTACCATTATACAGCTCTAGAAGAGGTTCTTAAAACTTTGTGGTAGGAGGTGCCCTCTTCACAAAGAAGTTCTCAATAAGGACCCCGCTTTAAAGGTCAAAATACGATTTATAATTACTGTTATGCAAGAATAAAAAAAGTCAGAAATGGAAGGGCAAGACTCCAGTTAAATCACCAGTTTTTGGTTCTGAACCCTTGCTATATCTCTGTCAAGTATACAGTACCATCACGTTGTGCTACAGACGAGATCCACAGCCACAAACAGAACGTGACTGTTGTCTTTTACTCTCTGATCTATGCAGTTTTACTCGTTTTTGCATTATGTCATTCACCAGCGTTATGTTAAATGAAAGCAATATTATGTTAAACACAGTGAAACTGTCAAGTTGTTTTCAAAATATGCCTGCTGACCTGTTGTTTATGTTTTAAACAACAAAATGAAAGTTTGTATCGTTTACATTTCCTCGTCTGGCAGGCCCTCAGTTGTGAGTAGCATTTAATTGTTTTGAAATGTACATCTGTATAAAAACGGGGGGTTTTTACACATTGTTATTTTACAGATTTTCCATAAGAATATTTTATCTAAATAAAAAAAAAGTTTCCTTTGTGTAATTACAATTGCAGTTTTGTGTTTTATGTTTGGAGTAGAAATTAAAAGCAACCACAGATATCAAATGAAAATCCTGAAACACTGGCTATTATTGGCCTTTTATTTCACAAGAAAATACTATCTTTGGAGCTCAGTGCCATTATTCACATTAAAAAGATGCATGAAGGGAGAGTGCTTTTGGATGTCAGACAATCAGAACTGGTTAGACCTGTGCTGATTCAACATAATTAAATGGTGGCCACAACCACAAAATAATTATGGCTTGTGTTTCCTAAAGCAACTCAAGTAATTCTAGTTCTGAAGAGCAATAGAAAGAGTAGTCTTAAATAGAGGTACTAAATTCAGCTCTGTCACAATAAAACAATGTAATTTATTAAATGTTATTGAATCAGTCAATAACCTTGTGTAGAATAATGAGGTAATTAACACTGAGATATTGTTCATATCCATTTCATAGTCCTTAACAAACCTCATAATTCTGCCTTTAAAAGATTATGGACATTTAAGTGATCTGCTAGTAGTTTTGAATTAGCAATATGTTTGTGAAACTATATAGGCCATGTGCACAATATAATATAACAGATCCCTTTATTATTATTCAATGACACATTGAATTGCTGCCTCACAGTGCTGGGGCCTTTGGCTTAATTCCTAGGGGTGCTATCTGCATGGAGTGTGTATGTTCTGTATTTGCATGGGTTTCCAAACACATACAGGTAGCTTAATTGGCTTCTGAGAAAATTTGCCCTTGTGTGAGCGTGTTTGTGTCTGTTCTCTACAATGGAATGGTGCGCCATCCAGGATGTATCCTGCTTTGCACTTGTTCCTTGTTGAGATATGCTCTTACTTCCCAGTGACCCTGTATGGGATAAAGCAGTTAGAAAATGGATGGATAACTCGCACTTCACTTCACATATGTTATCTATATGATAAAATACCTGCATGGTAAAATACAATGTTTTTAACACTTGATTGGCAAACATCATAGTGGTATTCAGACTGTGGATATGAAAAATCCTGTGACTGGTCTTTTTATGGAAGTCACACATAATATCCGTCATTAAAATATGTAGGTATTTTGAACATACAGTACAGATTCCTAGGAAGGACTGAGGTGTTCTTGATTACTTTGTTACTCAGGAGAGAGACGTCTGGGCTCAGTGTTTACAATACTATCTGTTGCACAGCACCAAAGAGGTCTTAATGAAGACTTTGATATTAACGCCTTTCTGCATCCTGAGATTGTTGTGCTTATATTTACTGTATATATTTTCATATGGTGGTTCTTGGATCTTCTATATGACTTGAAAATAATGTTAAACACTTTCACACTGTTCTGACAAGTATATATTTGTTATGTATCCAATGATGTTTCAATTTTAATATTTATACAATTAAGTGGTAATTACACACATTTTGTTTAACATTTTTGTTGAAGAAAATGTGTATATCATATTTTTACGTGGCAGTCTGAGTTTGTAATCAGCTCTTAACGAACTGATGTGTCCTAAACATTTGTAACATTTGATTTATATCCCGCTAAGATTGATTATGTCTGGTTTATCCAACACTCATGTATTAATATTTTATTGATTTATCCACCTGTTATTTTAAAAAGCTCAAATACAAAAGTCATTTTCATTCTTTATCTGTATCCTAGGGAGGATCTTCAGCCATTTGACACATTACAACTTTGCTTGTGTGATATGCCAATATTTGCTGAAAGAAATGGAGCATTAAAAAAGTGTGGGTATTTTTCTTCTCCTTCAGTAATACTAAAAGCCATAAATCAGTATAAAAATTGACACTAACTAGCTGACTCCAGGGTAATGATTGTTCAACAACGAATGAAAAGCAAACAAGGATGAGATACTCGTACAAATACATAGGTTTTTTACACTGTGATAAATCAAGGTCCAGCAAAGTTGCTCATATCTAAAAAAAGTAAATGAATCAAAACTGTAACCTGACATGCTCTGGACTTCCCAGGTGTACCTTTTAACAATATCACACACGTTAAATACCATTTAATTTACCATCTGCTCAAAGAGTTCTCAAGATCTAAAAGTCAAAACTCCCTTTCATGACTTAGCAAACCTTCAGTATAGGATAGACCAGGTACATTTCATTACAATGGAAGTGACTGTTCTGCAGTTCACCATTTATATCAAAGGCAAAGCACGGTATGTGTCCTTACATGTGGTACTCGGCATTTCTCCCAAGTATCCTCAATCACCCCAGAGGCGAATACTGCTGTGAACTTAAATATGATGTGGACTGACCCGTTAAATTAAAATTCTTCAGAATAACCAGAAATGCTTGTGTCGTGGTTATTGCCATCTGCATGGCCTAAAACACAGAGCATGACAACTTCATAAGATTCTGCATGATACAATAATAGAAAACCCTAGGTGCTACTGGGATATACTGAAAAACAAATTTTATTTATTTTAAAAATAATTTTATTTTTCTGGTTGTCCTGTTCTACAACTTTTCTCATGATTTATTGCTGATGCTTCTGCTTAGATCTTGAACAAAATGTATTAACGACTTGTTGAAATCACCAAATTATTTTGCTTTTGCAATCCCGCCCCAATTTTAAAGATGACTATAATCCTCACACCAGAGGCAAGAACCAGACACCCTGTTCATAAAAACATTGTGTGTCAGAGCTTCTTGCTATTTTGCACACAGAGTTCTATAGCTTGTGCAGAAGAGTTTATTCCAGTTACTTCTTTTCAATGTCCCAGATGGGACATTTGCTTCACAGGCAGGTAAAGGA